CCCCAAAACCCCAAAACCCCAAAACCCCAAAACCCCAAAACCCCTAAGATAAATAATTATATTGTAAATTTTAAATTTAGTAAATATGTTTCCAAGTAAGTTCGCGGAAAATGAATAATTATCAGGGTCAGGTCAAAGCAGTACAATGAACAATCCATTTACAAAAAAAAGTGGATCTAGGTCTGCTCAGAGACCAACTGGTTTTTCGAAAACTCCAACAAGAACTGGAAATGCTTTTGGAGGAGGGAATAAAGAAAATAGTAATCCTTTTGGAAGCAGACAAAGTGCAACTCCAAATCCTTTTGAAAGGGCAAAGGGAAGTAATTCAAATACTTTTGGGGGTGGAGCTTCATCCTCAAATATGTTCTCCAGAAATAATACATCAAAGAATCCATTTGGGGGAGGCTCTTCTTCCCAAAATATTTTTGGAGGTAATTACTCGATAAGTGGGAGAGAAACAAACCACGAGAAGGAGGTACAGATACTACTATCAAATTTTCACTCTATGTTTGATCCAGAAAGCCCAAATATGATATTTAAAGAGTATCTTTTTAATAGATATGGAGATGAAGTTTCCAAAGGGGCCAGGTTTCAGTTCAGAAATTACTTCGAAAATCTTGGACATGATAAAAAGTACCAAATGGCAATGAGAATGAACCCAGATCCTGACAAATACTACATAATGCCAATTACCTCTTTTAAAGAGCTTTATGAAAGAACTAAATTATTGAAAGAGGCAAGTATGGATCAATTAAAGAAGGTAAAGGGTATCAAAGAGAAGATGAACAATCTTGAAAGTAAGCATAAATTTTAATCTTTAGCTGTGAAGAAAAACAAATGTCTAAGAGATATAAAATAAATGAAAGGATACTTTCACCAGAATTAGAGAGAAGTTGATCAAAAGTAAGTCTCTGCTTTCTGAAAATAGTCCAAACAAAAGTAGACGATAAGGCTATAAAGAAAGATCTCTGCAACTACGATCACTCAAAAAGTAGTGAAATGTACGAGTCCTTGAAGAGAATTGAGAGAAAATTGTTCGCTTCCGATACAGTTAAGCAGAGAGTGAGGGATATCAAGGAGAAATCAGAAGAGCTTTTAGAGCTGAGAGGGAATGTAGAACATCAGTCTGAAGATTATATCGATCAAGCAGAAAACTCAGAAATCGAGAAACGAGGTATTTGGTGAATATTAGATATAGCATTTCCGATCATTGAAGTTCTTAAGGAACAACAGAATGGCATCCATATTTTGCTACAGAAGCTGAAAGAGAAAAAACAGCTTATGGACGTCTGAGATAAGATGAAACATCAATATTCTGAGTATTAGACCATTTCTCAGTAAGGACCTTGAAAGATCTGCTAAAATTATCCCATATTTAATTTTCCAAAAATTACTAAAATCACCCAAATCTCGCTCCTTCATTTCCTCTACCCTCCAACCTTCTAAACTACCAAATTCAACACCTATCCCAATCAACGGGGTTTTGGGGTTTTGGGGTTTTGGGGTTTTGGGG